TGGTTGTGAGGATTACATAACAACGTGATTGATTCAGACTTTGCATCAATGAAAGAGCTCTGTCCCAGGACACAATAGAAGATGAAGCTGGGTGTGAAAGTTACGTAATGATGTTCTTTAGCACAATAGAAAGTGATGCTTTTGTTTAAAACACCCAATTGGCGGCGTTTAATACGAAGATGACCTAATGAATAGGTTTCAAGTTGATTCAGATTCAAGGGTAAAATTACTAGTTTTCGGTGCGTATGTTATAATATATCGTTTTAACAAAGTATACATTTTCGTTGTAAATACTCGTAAAAGTCCATTTTAATTGTAATTAAAAAATTAGGATCGAGCGACTGTTCGTAAAAGGAAAGTCTAATTCGCCATGGCTTAATATGTTATTTGATTTTATTTGTATTTCTGTATTTCCAATCAATATTAACATCTCTTGATACGTTTTCATTCAATTATAAACACAATTCGTTGTAAATGAATTCAAATATCTTGATGTTATATTTCATAATTGTTTAAAGTGGGATATACATATATCGAAAACTGTCTCCAAAATATCTAGAACCATATCATGTATAAAACGAATTAAAAATTATTTGCCGAAAAGAAATTTAAATTGTTATATGATAGTTTGATATTGTCACATATGGACTACGGTATTGTTTTATGGGGCTGTTCAGCAAAGTGTCATTTTGATAAGTTACAAAAGCTTCAAAATCGTTATGCCCGTTTGACACTAAATGTAGATATTTTGACACCTCGTATAGTACATTATTATACTGTCTAAGATGGCAATCAGTTGTTGAGAGAGTGCAATACCAAATTTAGAATATGGATTTATAAGGTGATAAATAATAAAATGCCGAAATATATAAAGGATATCGTGTGCTATCGAACGATAAACGTTCATATTAGATATGCAACTACCTGTCCTCCATACATTGAAAACACAGAACGGAGTACTTCAAAAGATCTTTCTGTTATCAAGGCTCCGTTATATGGAATGCATTACCCCCTTCTTTACGTTTATTAAACTCACTGGATTCATTTTAAAACACTGCAAACTCCTTTCTGTCACATAGTATAAAATTTACTTAATAATTACATTAATATTATATCCCCCCCCCCCCCGCTCATTTCAACATTATATCTTGTTTAATTTGTGTGTTCATTATAACTTATGTATGTTTATATGTTTTGCAAATAGGTTTTTGATTATGTTGATACAGGGCCCCTTGGTCGAGCAGTTTTTTTATAACTGAAAGGGCTACCCCGTCAAAATAAAACGACAAATAAAAATACATAAATAAATATGGTAGACAAAATAAAAATATTGAAACAGTGAGAAGGGATCATTAACTGATCTCAAATTTAATATATGTGAAATTAGACATAGATTTCATTTAGACCTAGCACTAACTTCATGTAACTTTCTTTAGTAACCTGGTGCCAGAAAGAAAAAAACATCAGATTCGTAAACAGGTAAAGAAAAAGAAATAATTTACTTAATTAAATTGATATTCTATCATGACAAATATTGTGTTGATACGATAATAAGTCAGTTGATATGTTATACTTAAAATGTTGTAAAATAAAATGCACTGGGTGGTATATGATAAAAACGTGATGTAACACTACTTTAAATATGAAATTAGAAATAAAGGCAATTTTTAAAAAGGAAACAGATTTAAAAACTACAAGGGCTCCTGATACAACTTTTTCTTGGTTCTCTTTCTTTCCACGATTTATCCAATGAGCGTTGATTCGCTCATAATAGTTTCATTTCTTATTTTACCTATTCAGATTATATGATTGATCTTAGAACACGATGTTTACAATGGTGTTTATTAAGTGATTGCTTCTATATGACATGTGTATGTATGACTGAATTTATGTAATCCTAATTTGTGTTACAACCATGCAACTCTATATTTTGTTACCTGACCAAAATTATACATTTTTGTTTGATTTTTTTTCAAATCTTTAAAGGAAGATTTTAATTTACAACACATATGAAGAAAAAAAAGAATTGGAGTTTTGAGAAAGAGTGTTTAAAAGGGGGTCAAAAGCCAAGAAAAACTCGGGGTTTGCAACGAACAACCATCCATTGTCAATGGCCCAGACTTTGCATCAGTTGACAAAGCTCTTTCCCGGGGATAACTCCATGGCCCGAAATTTCGGGGGGGGGGGGGCGGGGCGGAGGTGTGAAAGTTACGTAACAATACTCATACCACGTTACAATCAAAACCATTTCTGAAAGAGCCAGCCAATGTGATTAGCCTAGACTTTTCACCAATGAGAAAGCTCATCCCCGAGCCATTGATAGGTGACCAATTAACTTTCTATAGCTAGTCCAAGGTGTGAAAGTTATGCAACAGCAAGCCGATATGATTGGCCTAAACTTTGGACCAACAAGAGAGCTTTTCCCCCGAGACAAAAGACACCCAATTAATTTTCTTTTGTTCAGTCTCAGCTATGTTAGCTATGTAAAATAGTACCCCGAAGCTACCCATTGTTGGACAATAAGATCCGGGGACGCCAATTAGAATCTAAGGAAATGGGCGCCCCACCCTCTTCCCCCTCTTTTCTTCCTTTATATGCTACGAGCATCAAACTTTTTTTTTCTGACACTGTGATAGTGCATTTGCATTGACACAACACATATAAAATAAAAACACACTTCAACAGGGTTTTTTTTTTTTTTTTTTTTACAAAAAGAAATTTATTTCAACATTGCGTTATTGAACAGCCTTTTTCTATAAACAAGTAAACATATTTTGCCGATATAACACTCCTGTGTATGTACAAACAGAATAATGTGGTACAGTCTAGAAATACATTGTAGAAGGTCTGATCAAAGAGAAATAGAGCACAAGAAAAGGAGAGAGAGAGATAGAGAGAGAGAGAGAGAGAGAGAGAGAGAGATGGGTGGAGGAAAAATAAAGAGAAAAAGAGGGCTACAGAATATTTTTATTTTTCCTTTGTATACAGAAAAACTCTTGTTCTCTCTATATAGTATATACATGGCAGATTTTCCAAATCCAGTGCTTTGCATAAACATGTTTTTACATAGAATGTACAGAATTGTAAGTACAGCAAATGGGAGTAGATACACATGTACAGGATGGCAAGGTTAAAGCAAAGATCCATGTGAATTTAGATCCAACGAAATCACAGAGACTTTAAAAAAAAATCGACCTACAACGTTTTCAATAGACTTGTGCATACCGGTATACTTTTGAAATGTGCCAACAGTAAAATGACGTATATAATCCTAAAACAATTTCAACAGGCTAAACCACCACAAGATGTTGAAATTACCCTTGGGCCTATGTTGAAAGTCTCTCGGAATATTTCATTAATACAATGTTGTATGAAGTGTGCTCAAAGTGACTATATTACATGAAGGTAGATATAAAATAGATCCTTTCATTTACACATTCTAATGTATATACCTTTCCTCTCTGACTCTGAACCCCAAGTAACAGATTAATTATTATTTTTTTCTTTTTGTGTACAATCACACCGAGACCAACACAAATCTTTAATTAGACTGATTCTAAAATAACACCTTAGTATTGTATTTTCATTGCGCGATGTGATGCAATATGATATAACCCTATTCAGTAATGCCCATAATAATGCACATGTACACAAACAATTCTTTTATTTGTGGCACATTATATCATTTCAGAGAGAGAAACTAGTGATATTGGGTGGTATTCCGGTAGCGCGTACTAAGTTAGCGCGTGCTTAGTTAATTCACACTTTTATGGAGTGCCTGTTGTGAACTAATTTACCCTGAACAGATTATTTTAATCCTTCAATGAAAAGTGTCCAAAAAATTAATTTTGCACTGAAATAGGAAGAAAAAGATAATATGAGTATACACTAAATTTCAACAAAGTTCTTGGTAGATTATCTTTGTCATGAATATTGAAGGAGGAAGATGAAACCTAGCATTCCATAGAAGTGCGAACTAAAATTCTTGTTTAGTCTGGACTTAGTCCCGGCTTAACTTAAGAGAATACCACCCATTGAATTGAAGGGTGGATTATAGAGAAATTATTTACCCTTTAATATTCAGTGGCATTACTGAACAAAATACACAAAACCATTCGTTTTAAGTTAGTTCATACACAAAGTTGGTGTTGAGTAAATTAGCAGTTAGCCAACTAGTTTTGCTATCCTTTATTTGTACAAATTATTAAAACAAATAATTCATTCAAATTGAACAATCGTTGGAGGGAAGGAAAGTGTAATATGTATGAATTAGAAACATTCTACAATGTCTACACAAATTTTGTTTCATATGCTTTAATATGTTTCACTGTTTTTCTTTTTCAACTTATCAGCCACTTTTGTTGATAATACAAGTTTATGAACCCTGTAAAACTAATTTCTCCCGATTTGCTCACACAAACACAGGAAGAACTTTGTTAATAGCACATTTCAATATGATTACTGCCTGTGAAAAAGATCATGGAAAACACAAGAAATATGATGATAAAGGTATAATAAACCAACCATAGTGAAAATAGAAGATCTAGGAATCCCCCCCCCCCCCCCCAGGTTGAATTCTAATGAGAATAAGGAATAGAGTCCCGTATTTGAAGAAAACAGAAATCAGACTCGTTACCAATGCATCCTCTTGATAAATTACAGTCAAACCTGTTTATTAAGGTCACCCAAGGGAAACACAAATAGTGGCCACTGGAGACAGGTGGTCTTTCTAGACAGGTTCTTCAACACACATTTCCTTCTACGGGGAGGCAATATGTGTGACCACTATAGAGAGGTGGCCATTAAGACAGATTTGACTGCACATACAATAATACTTGTATGAATTGAAGAGAACAAAAGGGTTCATGTCAACTAATGATGTAGTAAATCAGGAGGTTGCAAACATTGATATAATATAGTAGAATACATAGTAGATAGGGACTTTTAGATTTGCGTGGACTGATACGTGTGACGTCCATTCAAGGCAGTGCATTAAAAGGACGTCGATCATAGCAATCCCCATTGTCTTCATGCTAATCTAAAAGTCCCTAATGTCTTCACCAATTGACAGTGTAACTATTGTCTAGACTCTGCATGATCCCTCACAAATATATAGTAACCATTAACATGATAACCCTCTCGTCACTATTCTGTTTGGGACTTAAATGAGACCGTATTTTGTCCTAAAATAACAATAAGTAACAATAAATAGATAACAATAAAGCTAACAATGGTTGGATTTATTGCATTAAATTCACCCTTTAAGGCTAGAAACCTCCAGTCAAAAAGTAAATTGCCGTGATATCAACATGAACATCAATAGTTGTACTTTAATTGATTATCGCTACATACCAGCATTAATGAAGTATCTTTATTAAACCCCTGGGCAAGCAAGTTAGAGCGAACCACCTCAAAAGAAAGAAAGAATATTAACTTGACAACGCAGTAATACTTTGCACATGAATGAATGGCAAGAGGAATTAGTTGGGCAATAAAGAAACAAAACAAAAAACATAGCTGCACATAACAGTGGTCCTTATGCTAACCTCTTGTTATAAGATAGATCAAATTGAAGCATACCACTTATACAATTGTATATCTTGCTGCAGAGGTTTTTAAAACAGTCTATTAACGTCCCAGTGTAAACAGACAAATTTGCTCATGATTCGCTAGTCAGCTGCTCTCAAGCTAATTCTTCACAAAATGGCTTTAAATACCATCCTGGCATCCATTTTAAATTGCTAAATCTACAATAAAGGGTTATAAATTTCAGATAAATTGGATTAAATACTAAAAATGTCAAGATGTCAAATTTTAGGCACCGTGATTGCCATGATTGTTAATAGAAATTCATTGCAACATTGTTTTGGATTATTTAGGGGCAAAAGTGTAGATTTTATCTACAATCATGATTACACAAATAAGGCTATAGTCTGGCAAGGCACAACATCAAATTTTCTCTGGCACATGTTTAATAAAGTATGGAAGAAATATGTTTGATCAAGTAAACAAATCCATCGGCATTCAAATTCTTTCATTCCCATATCTATAACATAGGATGCACACAGTTCCCATAGGCAATAAGTTAAGGCAATATATCTGAAACCATCTTTAGAGGTTATCATGGTGCAAAAGACCAGTACCCTTAGTTAAAATACTTTCTATTCTAAATCAAGGTCTGTGGAGTCAGCAGTATTTTGTCTAAAATTCATACAAGATGACCGAAAGAGAGAGTGAAATCTTTGTTTTAGAGTGATCGCTAACACGTTACATTACGATGTAAACAAATACATGTACAAAGAACCTTGTAACTTGAACCAAACATTCATTTTCAAGGGTCAAAATCAAGATCTTATCATCCATTAGATAATTGAATCGGGCATGAAGCATCAGTATTGACATGAAGATGTGTTTCATTAAGAATTTTTATTAATAACTCCAACGATTGTACATCAATGACACTAAATGGCTTTAATATCACTAAACAAAAAGATGCAAGGATCAAACAAGATGTAATCCTCCCATAAATATATAATTCCAGTCATCTTGAATTCAACATTGTTTCTTTGGTGATGGTGAGTGATGATGATGAGGGTGGGGGGGGGGTGAGGTTGTATACACCGGTAGAGCACAGAGAGTACCAAAACTGACCCTCTCTAACATGTCTCCAGTTCTGCTTAAGGTTGCTGATGATAGTGGGGCAGGGGGGGGGGGGGGGTTGTATACCCGGTAGAGCGCGGAGAGTACAAAACTGACCCTCTCTACCACGTCTCCAGTTCTGCTTAAAGGTAATGATGAAGGTGAGGGGTGATCATGTTATACACCGGTAGAGCACGGAGGGTACAAAACTGACCCTCTCTACCATGTCTCCAGTTCTGCTTAAGGGTAATGATGAAGGTGAGGGGTAATCATGTTATACACCGGTAGAGCACGGAGGGTACAAAACTGACCCTCTCTACCACGTCTCCAGTTCTGCTTAAGGGTAATGATGAGGGTGAGGGTGTAATCATGTTATACACCGGTAGAGCACAGAGGGTGCACAGCTCTCCATCTTCGCTAAGTCTTCCATATCGATCCAAGTATCTTATCCTGCAAATGAAGAAAAAAGATTTGAACATATAGGAGATATTAATACTACAAAAACAGAAAAATGTTCGCTCTGTACAAATAATAAAATCAGAAATTTTTGTTTTCTCTCAAATAAATTTTCGATCATATACAAGCACCCTAAATATAATCATCGCAAATATGTTTCTATTTCCATTGTCGAAAAAATCTATTACATCATTAATAACAAAGAAAATCAAAGTTTATGACATTAATGTACAAAGCAAATTTGAGAGGGGCTCGCAAGATATGTCACCGAGTTGTTAATTTGTGTTTCATTGATCGCAACTTCAAAAATTCAAAACCTTCTTATTTTTAATTGGAATTTGCTCGTACTTTCACACACACCTGTTGAGCAATCTCAAGATCCAGCTGCTTTAGTTTTTCATCCAAGAAACTTCTCTCTCTCGCTAAATCGGCTTCACTCCCTCCATCTGAACAAAAAACAAAAAGTGGCATACAGTTAACAACTTAATTCTTCACACACCTTGTAAATTTGACATGTTTTCTGTTGAATACTTTTAGATGAAATATTTAAAGATACCGTAATCAACGTTGTATAAACCGCCCTCGTGTATTAACCGCATCCCTCTTTTTTTTTTGCCGACTTTTTTTTTGCCGACTAATAAAACAGTAGAGGACCTAGGATAGAACCTTGAGGTACGCCGTGTAATAGAAGAAAAATTGGAGGAATTATTATTATAAACTACATATTGAAATCTATCAGAAAGATTACTTTCAAACCAAGATGACAGACAAATTTGAGTGTTGTTCTAGTTTCCGAGTGGTGAGTCAACACACCGATTACTGAGCTGGGAGACATTGCCAGGCATAGCGCCAGGTAAAGGGGCATAAATCGAAACTGTGTATAAACCCAAAGTTTTGGGAAATTTTGAAAATTGGATGGATAGTAATTCTTTAAAATGTTGATATATTTCAATGCCCATGTGGATGTTTTATAAGCACTAAAAAATTTAGCCCCCTAAAACACTTCTGCTTTCAAGAAATTGAATGATCACAATTTACCGGTGCTCCGACCATGAAAATCTCAGAATATGCAGTTCTGATATATAATTTCCAAACAGGAATAGCAAATCTGTTTATTATAGTCAAGAAACATTGTTTTAAAGCTGAAGTAATATCAATCTTGAGAGGGAGCTATACAACATAAAGAGTTCATTATTTACAATTTTATCACTGTAGACTCGATTCCAACCGAGACAACGGTCATTGAATAATGTAAAATCGCATATGCTTCCAATATGTTCATTTGAACCAAATTCATGACCCCATACCAAAACTTTGTTTTACCTTTAATATATCACATCTTCAAGATACATAAGTCGGGGCAAATCAATATTTTCACATACTTAATAAATTATAAAACTTGGTATTGGTAAGGGTATGAAATATTTAGTTAACTCTATGTTAATACACAACATGCGCCTTGAGCACTCCACAGAGTGGATTTGGCGCGATATAAGTTACATTATTATTATTATTATTATTATTATTATTATAATTTAACAATATGGACGTGGATGAAAATATAAGAGGACATCATTTCACTCAACAATCATCAGTACAAGTTCCCAAACATCCCATTAAAATTGCTCATTTAAACACAAGGGGTTTTAATGAGACGTTGACAAAGCAAATTAAAAAAAGTTTCACATAACTTTGCCCAGTTTTCATTGCTTCTATACACCTGTACTTTTAAATATATATTCTGTATTAACACTACTCCCTAGTTGAAGTCTAATGCTAGTTTACAATTTTACAATGGGTGGATATATAGAAACATAATTCTCTAAATCAACTAAATAAAATTGAGAGCAGGGTAACAAAACAATTATGTAACAAAACAATTATCTCCACGAGATCCAACTTGATTTTCATTTACAAGCAAAAACTATGCACTTGATCCCTAATACTACCAGCACAACAAATTTCTTCATAATGAACCCCTCCTTAGCCAAGCCTCCCTAGTGTACTTCCTACCAGGGCCCTGTTTCACAAAGCCTTTTTCAATGACAAATGACAAAAATCAGTGACAAATCTGATGGTATGATGACAGTGTGATGGCAAGTCGACAACTAAAGAGAGCGCTGGAGTCAAAATGGAGAAAATCCAAACTTGTTTCGGATCGACAGAATTACATTAATCAAAAGAATAAGCTAAATGTTATCATTCAGAAAGCTAAGCGTAATTATTACACAAATGTTATTCTTGAGTCTAACTGCAGGAATATGTTTTCAACAGTCAGTTCATTACTGGGTCGTTCAAAGCATGTCCTCCCAGTGTCCGATGAACCGCTTCGCCTCTGCAATGATTTTGCCAATTTCTTTGAGGGCAAGGTTAGGAGTATCAGACGGTTACTTGATGCACATCCACCTAATCAGCAAACAGTGTGGACTGTTCCAGATCCGGATAATGTTCCTCCTCCTCTTGGTCCAGTAGCGGATGACGACTTACTGCTGGCTTTAACACCAGTCAGCGATGAAGATGTGAAGAGGGTCATAAAGAAGTCTGCAAACAAGTCCTGTGACCTGGATGTCATGCCAACCTGGCTGCTTAAAGCTAATTCAGAGGTAATGGTACCCGTTATCACGTCAATCATAAACTGCTCGTTAGTGAATGGAGTTTTCCCTGACAAACTTAAATATGCAATAGTTTTTCCTCACCTGAAAAAATCTTCGTTGGATTCTTCGGAACTTAAAAACTATAGGCCTGTATCTAATCTTGCTTACATATCCAAGGTGATTGAGCTCGTGGTGTCCTCAAAACTGACAGCCCATGTCGAAGAGCTTAGCTTACAAGATGAATTTCAGTCGGCATACAGGAGACATCATAGTACTGAATCTGCACTAACCCGTGTTAGAAATGATATTCTATGTGAAATTGATAAAAGGCGTGGTGTGATACTAGTTTTATTAGATTTAAGCGCAGCCTTCGATACCATTGACCACGGATTTTTGATTGATAGGCTTTCCTCAGAATTTGGAATACGTGACACGGCTCTGCAGTGGTTTCGGTCGTATCTTAACTGTCGGACCTATCGGGTTCGCATAGATAGCACTTACTCTGATGTTCATACTTTAGATTATGGAGTTCCACAAGGGTCCGTACTCGGCCCGCTCCTTTTTACGCTATACGTCAAACCTTTGGGAAGAATTATTAGTCGCTACGGTCTTAGATATCATATGTATGCTGACGACACACAAATATACACAAGTTTCAACCCCAAAAGTCTTGCAAATTTTCAAGAAGAAATAAGTAAACTGGAACAATGTATCTCTGAAATTAGTATATGGATGACCTTAAATAAACTCAAACTGAACGAAGGAAAGACGGAACTACTGCTGGCCATGTCACCAAAGCTTAGACATCACTTACCGCGTGATATAAGTATAAACATAGGAAATGGTAGAGTACAAATGTCTGACAATGTCAAAAACTTAGGTATTTTCTTTCAATCTTCAATGTCCATGTCTAAAAAAATTACTGCTTTGTGTAAATCGCTTAACTTTCATTTGTACAATATCTCTAGAATCAAGAATCTGTTGACCTCTGATGCGTGCCATCATGTCGTAAGATCATTAATCCTCAGTAGAATAGACTATGCCAACTCTCTTCTTTTGAATGCTAATGTGACAGACATTCAAAGATTACAACGAATCCAAAATCGTGCTGCCCGGGTTGTTTTGGGAGGGAGCAGGTATGAATCAGCATCTCCTCTACTTAAGCAATTACACTGGTTAACCGTAAATAACAGAATCATATACAAAGTTTCCCTAATTGTCTACCAATGTTTGAATAATTGTGCACCAATGTATCTGTCTGTGCTTCTACATACTCCTCCTAGACTTCAATACAACCTCCGCTCTTCTAACGACCCCACGCTCCTCCGATTACCACGTATCAATTCAAGATCGGGGGAGTGTAGTTTCTTTTATTATGGCCCCAAAATTTGGAATACCCTCCCTTTCGACCTCCGTACCTCTCCCTCAGTTGAAATTTTCAAGAAAAAACTAAAAACGTACCTCTTCAATAAGTAAATTGTAATTCTAATATTTTTGTTTGTTATTATAATTACTCTTTTATACATGTATTATCTTGTGTTTACTATGTCATTATTTCTGTAAAGCGCTTCGAGCAATTCGTTGGATGTTGCGCTATATAAAAGACAATTGTATGTATGTATGTATGTATGTAATCAGAAGCAAGGATTTCAGTAGCTTATAACAAAGGCTGTCATTTGTCACTGATGACAAGTTTTGTGAAACAGGGCTCTGGTATGCATTCACTGAACCTTGGTTGAGAGTGGCACAGGAAATCCAAGTCCTTGTCAAAGTGTCATGGCTGGCTAGGACTTGAACTGTTACCTATTTGACCCGGAATCTAGTAACATACACAACACGTCTTACATTGATCTACATATGCCACACTCAACCCAGGTGACGTAAAAGGGTACCTGGCAGGATTTAATTCCTTGAGCGACGTAATGGAAGCCGTGCTAAAGCCAGGGTAATAATCAGGATCCCTGTCTGGGCCTCAGAATAGTTTACTAGAATGATGGCTCATAACAAATGCTTTATATTATTATCATTATTATTATTATTACCTGTTCCTGTCATTGAGAGTCCCGACGTACTGAGTGACGTGTAGGAATCACTGAAACCCATCAGCCTCTCCTGCGATCCTAGACCAGATCCTGCAGACCCGGTGTGACTCGGTGGCCTTGCGAGGGCTCCTAAGCTCTGCTGCGACCCTGCAGGAGACCTCCCACCAAGGGACACGACATGCGGCAGGTTCTGCAGGGAGCTCGCCGGAGACTTGGACACCAGGTTCTGGTTGGACGACGCCGGGGACATGTGCAGGTTCTGGGTCGACGTCGCGGGTGATTTTGTCAGGTAGTGCTGGAGGCTGTGGGTTGAGGATGCGGGCGACTGCTGCTGCTGCTGTTGTAGGCTCTGAACGGAGCTGGCGGGGGAACGGCTGCCGAGGTTCTGCAGGGAGCTGGAGCTGACTGCAGGTGATCCAGACAGGTTGCTCTGGAAGGGGGTGGAATCTACGGAGCCACGGCGGTAGGACTGCTGCTGAGGGGAGGGAGGGCGGATGTTCTCGGGATAGGAGGACAGTGAAGTAGACGACATGGTGGCAAAGATTTGGTTCTGGAGAGCTTGGATGATGATTTCACGTTTCTGGACCTCTGTTGAAAGGGCTGAAACTCTGAAAGAAAAGACAATATGTCCATTTTAGTACTATTCATAACATAAAGAAGGAAACATATGTCATCTAAAAGCATAGAGATACTACTCCTGTTGAAAAAATATGTGGTGTTACTGCAGACCTTGCTCAAATCTATCATTGCCAAGGAAGCCTTCAAAAATTACAAACTAATGAGAGTTATATCCCTTTATTCAAAAGAACAATAATGACAGTAATAATAATACTAACACCAACCAGAATAACAAGAACAATAATGATACAGTCTTATTTACCCTGGGTAGCCTAATAACTACAAATACTTCTCTTCATAAAGGTTGCGCAATTGTTATTAACTCAGCAATGACACATAAACATTTAACAAATGTGGTTCACAAGGGGCAAACCTCAGTAAAACAACAGCCTGATCGCCCGCAGAAGGGGTCATGAACTAACTTTCTCTCAAGATCGTATATCATTGCTTAATGTCTGGAGCTCCCTCCATCATCCCTATCAACTCCCCCTCTCTCTCTCTCTCTCTCTCTCTCTCTCTGTCTCTCTCTCTCTCTGCCTGCCTGTCTGTGTCTGTGTCTGTCTCTCTCTCTCTCTGCCTGCCTGTCTGTGTCTGTGTCTGTCTCTCTCTCTCTGCCTGCCTGTATGTCTCCGTCTCTGTCTGTCTCTCTGTGTCTGTCTCTGCCTCTGTCCTCCCTCTGTCACTCTCTCTCCTTACCACATTGCACACCATACCAGAAAGCGCCATTTGATATCCTTTCCTATCAAGAACATTACAACTGGAAACATGCCTATGGATGGCCAAGGGCAAGGGAGAGGGGGGGGGGGGGGGGGCATGACTTTACCTTTTCTCAAGATCGTATATCCTAGCTTTATGTCGTGAGCTCCCTTCTTCATCTCTCTCCTTCCCGCCATCCATGTCATGTACACCACTCAACCTGTCATCAGAAGGAATCATGATGGATAATTGTTGAATTTTCCTTAGAGATAGAAGCGATAAACGTATTAAGTGTTTTCTTGTGATATTTGTTTTTACAATTTATTTTGGCGAATTTCTTTTAGTGCAGTAAGCACACTGGGCATAGAGAAAATTAGTGTCTAGTTTCAAAGAGGGGAACAAAAGGGGGGGGGGGGGGGGAGAGAAAAATCTACACAGTAGGGCTATTGCCATGATCACTAGAAATGTTGAACTATGAATATCAATATTTTTATTTCATCTTATGGTTATCATGATCATTATCTTTGTCATCAACATCATCATCACCTTTATTACCATCGTCATCACCACCATCTTTATCACTACCAAATTTATCTTCCTTATCATCATTACTTAAACCACCACCGCCGCCACCACCACCACAAACATCATCATCATCATCACTACCAACAACACCATCACCATCATCGTCAACATCATCATCACCCTCATCGAGATCAGCAGCAGCATCCTTACCATTATTAACCATCTTTTTCTAGTCATACAATGCATGAGACTTACCTAGAGTTTGATGGTGCTTCCACATGACATTGTCTGATTGCACACTCTTCCAAGTACTTGTGTTCCCACTAGAAGTAAAAGTCGAGATTTAGAGTCATTGTGATGTCATTTGGTACACAAAGAAATAAGAGAGAATGTATAGAGAAGCAATGGAGAAGCGATAGAAAGAGAAGGAAATCAGTGAAATGAAGAGAAATGTACAGGAGAGATAGGTGGAAGAGAGGAAGTTGGGGGAACAGACAGATAAACAACAACAACACAAAATATATGCATGCAAAGTCACTTCAAACATCGTAAAGATTAGATAAGACAAAACTTAAATGACAGAATGAGGAGAAAGAAGAAACTAGAATGAGATATAAAAAAAAAGTAAAGGAAAATAAAGAGAAAAGGAGAAAGAAAAATGACAGTGGGGCAAAGATAGGGTATTGGAACAGGAAGAGACAGAATAGAGAGAGAGAGAGGGTATGGGTGATTACTTTACTGACTTCAGCCTCAAGTTTTACAATAGTATTTTCTTTTTTTAGCCAGAGATAATATGAAGGAGAGAGAAGATGGGGCAGAGATGGAAATGGAGTGAGAGAGAGAAGTGAGAGAATAGAGATAGAAAGACTATGGATGATATATCTTACCTTACTAACTTCAGCCTCTAGCTTTAGGATAGTACTCTCTTTTTCAGCCAGCGATTCACTTGTAACATCTTCAGGCTCCGACACACCTTCATCTTGGTTCGCTACAGCCTAAACGGATATAACAACAAAATGAATAATATAATAACTAAATAAGAGACCTGTGACAATTTCGTATATCTTCTGTGCAGGAGCATTTTTCTATGGTATTTAGCAATAAAATATAAAAAATAATTTTCCCCAAAGATATAAATTTATCAAATTCATAACTATTATCATATTAGAGAAAGTTACTAACAGGTTTAGAAGACTATTTTGTATAATGATTAATGTTTTTGTTTCTAAAACTTTATATGAAAGTGTGATTTTGATTTGTATAGATTATGTACATGACATTGTCAATATTACTTTTCTTTTTTGATTTAATTGATGACCTCATTTTATGACGAATTTTGGATTGTAAACAATGTGCGATGAGTGCATGGACTACTACTTTGTATTTCTAATAAACCACATTTAATTAAATTGAATATTGTGTCCAACTGAAACCTGGGGGGTGTTTCACAAAGATCCTAAATTGAACTTATCTCTAAGTTGGAGTTAACAAATATGGGAAGCCGTTAGCATCTATGAAAATATGTTGTAAAAGTTATTTTAAAAGGCATAAAATGTTGATTCAAATCATTCATATTTTTTTTTATTATCAATGAGATATTTCATGTTCTTGATGTGGAATTTATAAAAGTCTAAAATACTTGAATTTTTCCTTTTAAATATATTTTATTTTGAGGCTACAAATGGCTTTCCATCATGTTTAAGTCCAACTTAGAGTTAAGTGTGACTTAGGATCTTTGTGAAACACCCCCATGATTGCCACCCTTATCAATTAAAGCTCTTAATGTAAGCAGAGCCATTTATTAGGAGAGTTCGGTCAACCCGGTTCAAGTTGGGCACAATATGGCGAAGTTGGCCAAACTCTGTGTAGAAGTAGCTCTGGGCCACGTCTTATAAAGAGTTACGAATGATCCAAATCAATCGCAAGTCATCCAATCAATCGTAAGTTTGTAGCCTCCTAGCTCTAATGTACATAGCTGCGATTGATATCAATCGTAAATAAGTTGCGATCAACATCAACTCTTTAAAAGGCGGGCCCAGATTGCGTGACTCACTCACCTGGCGCCCTCGTAGTTTCTCTATCTCTTTCTCCATCTTATGTCTGAGTTTATTCTCTAGTTTCTCCCTCTTCTGACGAGCAGCTTGCAATGATGTAACCAGCTGCTGTAACGATCTCACCTTGTCAACGTAAACCTGACGCTGGGCACACTTGGGAGGGGAGGAGGAGGGGTCAGGAAAGAGATAATTCACAAACATATTTTTAAAATATAATATTTAACAGTAATCATAACAGGCAAGCAAACACCACACAGCAGTAGAGGCTAACTTGACTGAGTTGGGTATCCGGACAGTTGATTTCAAATAGTTAAGTCATTTTTTACAGTAATTTAATCTAGTTTCTAGTCATTTCCTTCAAAGGTATTGGTAGATCCTAAACAAATACAATTGTTAAGCTTTAAGAACAATAAGAATCATACCAATAATGAAATGATAACATGTCTTATTTCCTAAGGGTAGCCTCATCAGTATTATTACTTATCTTTCTGAGAGCCCTGTAATTATTATTACTCCAGCATTGCCAGGGCAAATGCATTCACATTTAAGTAATTTTGTCACTCCTTAGTTAAAATTTACAGTAAGTTTTAGTTAACAAACAGTGCTTTTTAGTCTTTGTAGTATTCAGCAAGATTTGGGAATGTCATCTTTTCCAAATTGCCTCAGAAGAGTTGACATCAACTGTACGTTTAACCATTACTATCAAAATTGCTACACATGAATATCAAACTACTTATTGCCATATTAAAGCCATATTAAGATAACTGGAGAAAAAGGTGGCCACTGTTTACAGGTGGCCTTCTTATACAGATTTGACTACACACATTTCCTTGCTAAAGGGACACAAAATAGGACGACTATAGAGGAGTGTCCACCAAAGATTTTTGTCTCAATTAAACTTAATTAAGTGCTTAAGTTTGTTTATAACATACCTCTTCATGTAACTTAGTAACATCTGCTTGAGCCTTGGACAAGGCTGCATCCAGCATGTCCACGTGTAGTCTCTGTTCTGTGAGTTCATTCATCAACTGCATATTAGTCTCATCCAAGTCTTTACCTGTTTATCAAATAAATTATTGACAGTCATTTATAGCCACTGGGGTATTGATGGAGAATTCTTTCTTCCAGATGGTTACAAATTGTACTGTACAGAATCTCTAGAGAAGGCTCTAAGACATTCTGAATGGGCTTCAAATAATCATAATAATTTCTTTTTTTCCTTCTTATTTCCAGCTACACTTCTTTACTCAGAAAGCTATCTTGTTAACAGTCAGAAATGGCAAATTTTTAAAGAAACACAGGCAACTAACAACTAAACTATCCATACCCCATGTAAATTTGTTGTTGTTTGTGTTTTTTTGTAACTCAGGAATAAAAGGTGGACTGGGTGAATACTTTTTAAATGTAAGCTTTAATATGTCACATTCTCAAGGAACATAAATCAGAACAAATCTTTTTTTCAAATATTAAGTGACAAATAACAAACTTGATAAGGGTATGAATAATTCAGTTGATAACTGTAAACACAGAACCCTACTCTAACTTTTTTCTCATGGTCAGAAGTAAAATACTGGCATTTATTTCAACTTATTGACAACATTTTTGCCCATGTATATTGCTTACAGAGATATTGCATATTATTTGATCAATGTAGCAATAAAAGAAAAACACAATTGTTGCCAATTTGAAGAACGACATCTGATCTATTTAGCGCTAAACATAAATCCTGTCCTGAAAGAGTTAAAAGCAAAAATAGACAAGTTACTTGTGAGATGAATACTTACATGTCATTTGTGTCTGGAAGAGCACGTTTTCTTTTCTCGTTAATTCCTCTTGCAGGTCAGCCTCGATAGATTCCCCATGATTGGCTGTCCTGGAACTCTTGGCACGTGATTCTACATAGACTGAATACGGACATTTGATATAATTATTATGAATATTATTATTATCGTTATTAAGTATTCGGCATCACCTGTGCCTGGTACAAGCAAACTTAATCACTGTGACCCTCAAGTCTCTCATTTTAATATAACTGATTGGGGATGTGCACCCCAACACTGAACTTAAAAAATACAAACCTATAAACCTCAATCTATTAGGAATTTTAACCTCCCACCTCCCCTTCTTATTATCCCCATTATCACTTTTACTGTACAAACAGACTCTATTCTGACACATAAACATATTTCCATAAAACCTTCAGTCAGGCCTAACACCCCTCAACAGCGCTTCATAGTCTTACATTGAAGACCCCATGATACTGTAAAAAACTTCAAACTTTCGCAAATTGTTACCAACAGCCTTTGACATAGCAAGAAACTTTAGTGACCTGCACAAATTTAGAGTTGTGTCAAATGTGACTCGATAGTTTTGTGGTATGAAACTTTCATATACATGTATATATGTCGTGAATCTGAACTACTCATAAACATGCAGGAACATTTCATATATTAAAGCGAAGCTTCCAAGTTTAGCAGTATGTTTTATGACCAACATGGGTTCGTTCCTCATTATAACCATCACCATGGATTGTTGTTCGTCCCTAGAGGTCAACAAACTTGGTAGTGTACCCATCCTGGCCAGGCAGATACCCAGACAAACAACGGCATTCAGGGAATTTAGGGAATGCCAAGTATTTTCCAGTACATAGTTAGTTTCCCATCAAGCTGGGGTGCCCGAGAGATTGGCTCAAGAAGTTGGGACGGTGTTGAAAGACGCGTGTCTGACCTTGCGAGACCGGGGTCAGTCCCAAATTCATAAAACATGCTCCGTAAATACCACTGACTTTATCTGGTGGTAATGGAGGGATGACAAGGGGGTGGAATGGAATCTGACGGTGCTCATGCACACATAACATGGTTTTTTAATTTTTAAAATTAAATGTAAAGAGTGAAGAACAATCATTATTAATCCAATTTACTCCACTAAAGCTGTTATGACTGTATTTTATCATCACTGTAATTGTCTATGATTATGATTATTTCTTTTCGTAAACCGATCTATAAACGTTTACCAAGGAAAAACAAATTTCCAAATGGATAATAAATGTTTCATTTCAATTGTAATCTCAATTTGTCTTGGTGGAATAGATAAAAAGGATCAATATCTATCTATTAGTATTAGCACCTGCGCTACATTTCAATACTATGCATCATGTTTGTATCTACTCGAGTACTGGCTTGTCACTAATGTTTGTCAATCTTAGTTGTGTGTCAATGTGCATAGGCCTACTCCTCCTGAAGCTCCTTGACCTGCATGTACATGTAAGTGTTATCAGTTAAACTTTACACTTTGATAACAAAATGTAAAACTAAGTGCTTGTCAGCACACCAATTTCCCTTCATTTACCGGTAAACAAAGTGTTGCTCACACAGATCCCCAGAAATTTTACAAAACTGTTTGATCATTCTCATGCACTCCAAAAAGTAGTATTCTTTGGGTGCAGTAAACTTTGGTTAATAACAATAATGGGCATTAGGTCTTGCAGCTTACTACACATTCCATCAACGGAGTGAAATTAATAATTCTGTCAATATCAAATTTTTACTGGATATATCATAATCTTCATAAAATCACTCTCTTGCCCAACCATCTCATAATAATACCGGTAAGCATAATAACAATAGTGGGTTCTTGTATATCGCGCTCATGTCTGTAAAACTTGACACTCCTGGTGCTTTACAGATCATTTTCCCTGTCCTGTTTCTTTAATATCAATGTCAGAGAAGTGAATAGAGTCCACCCGCACCCCCCCCCCCCCCACTCAGTGTTATTTAAGTTACGCATATGCATTTTCCCTCCTTTTGAAAACACCCCCGTAAGTCCGGTGTAAAGTCAATACGGGCCAGTTTTGTGTACTACGAGCCGGACGGTGGTGCGTGAAAAGTACCCCTTTACCAGACATTTTGGGAACACGCATGCAGTCCCTCCGACCCCGGAGTGGGGGGGGGGGGGGGGAGGAGAGTCCATTACCTGTTAAATCTCGATTCCTCTCCTGTAGTTTCTTGACTTCTACTTCAAGTTTGGCCCGGACGAGCTTCTCGAGGTGCTCCCTCTTGTGCGTCGATTCAATTAGCTTCTCATGCTCTGTCTGTACCTTGTGGATCTCTTGCTCAAACTGCACAAGGAAATATAATCATGAGACCAATTTACTTACTAATTTCCTAATAAATGCACATGGGAATAATTCAACAATGATGATTTCTTTAACTCAATTACCAGTCAAATAATATTATACAACTTGGACATAATAATATTCATTACTGTCTACTAATCTTTCAATGCCTCAGAAGCTCATAGGAGTAAGAAAATGTTATCTGTCTACCATTTCCTTTTCCTGGGTAAAGAGCGTTAATGAATGCCTTGCTACCAGAACTGAATCCTTGGAAAGCTGGTAAGACCAGTGTCAAGCCAACCTTTTGAATGTCAATTCTTGACAAACCTCCCCAAAAGGCACTCGGTCATATATCTTTGAATATTAGAAACTGAAAAGCTAACTATTCTTAGCAACTGCACTTTTTATTTTTGTTCTAAAGTGAAGTATGAAATATGATTTTTTTTAAATAAATTAACAATTATCAAATCAAGTTCTCATGGATAGGCTCTGAATCACATTGTTTTTCGTTGCCCCTTGAACTACCCGTCACTTCCTTAAACATGAAATAGATTGTAAATACTAGTACATGTAAATAGAGGTGGCGAATTCAGTTAATACATAGATGTATATATCTAAAGTTGAAAATGCATTTTCTTTCCATGTGAGTAGGGTCTAGATCTTGCAGGACAACAGGTGAACTCAGGGTTTTAACGACTACCATCACCACCACCGATTTCACCCTGATTAATTTCATCAAGCAATTGAGTTGTCAAACCCCATTCTGCTTTCCAAATCTCACAGAACTGATTTACATGTACAATGAAAACAACAGTGGGCAGAAATGCTGTTAACAATTCGTCCTTGACAATCCGCATAATTTCTGCACTTTATAGTCTATAAATCTAATGCACATTACTGCCATAAAACTGACTCAAGGGAGACAAATCTTCTAAAATTTTGCAAATTTCTGTATTTGTCAACTTTCTTTCTGTAATTGTCCTTGATATGAGCATATTTCCTGCATGGTTGATACAGTCGCTAACTAGCTATGTTTACATGAAATCATTGTAGTTTTAAACTTTACATTTGCGAAACGTCAAAGTTATGAGGGTTCGCACGGGACTGAAACAACAAGTTTTCAAAGTTTTAAACTACAAGCCGGACAAGCAGTGAGTTTTACGAACTTTGAGCAAGGATTCCCCACTGCTCATAGTTATCGCGCTAACTTTAAGATTGCTCTTGGTTTGTAACTTCAAGGCATCTGCACAGTCCCCGACTACAGAATAGCTTTGACGTTTAAAGCTATGACCTAAACTTTAAGTTAACGGACTGCCATATGAACCTCACTAGTAGCTGTTGTAGCCTATTGCACATTATGGCCAGAAAATTGACTCATGGATGAATCTTCTTGGCAACTCTCTCTTATTAGCCTAGGTCTCCAGTATTTGTCTTTGGACTTGGTTGTTTCATAATCATATCATTGTAATGAATAGTAATGCAGAAATGTTTCTGGGACCAGTTTTTATAAAAACTAACAAATTCAAAAACTTTAAGAAAAATTTGCTCTCAGTCAATCAAATGCCAGGATTTCAGTAGATTATAACAGTTATTGAAACTTGTCATTGATAACAAGTTTTGATGAAACAGGGCCCTAATGTCATCTTACACATTCGACATTGTAGCTTGTCTTTTCGATTGCACGTTATGGTCGTTAAAATATGTACTCAGGAGGCCTGTCCTCATCAGCTCGAGATTGCCAAATATCCCGCTATTTGAACTACCCCGATCGCAAATTATCCAGTTAATTTGCGTCTTCATCAGCCCAAAGTTGCAATCAGCGGGATATTTGGTTGAGATAATCATCTTAAGATATCTTCGGCTAGTTTGCAAAATATCCCGCTATTTGTTCGGTGCGTCTTCACCAGCCCGAAGACTCACACTATGCACGAACGTTGTGCAAATTATCTCGAGCTAATTTCTCAACCTAGAGTTTCAAGTTTCGAGGTCGAGCTCGAGCTGATGACGACGCGATTTGTAACTTCGGGCCTATTTCCCAAATCAGTAATAGCGGGCAATTTGGTAATCTTGAGCTGATGAAAACAGGCCTATTGCAGCTTGTCTAATCAATTGCACATTAGGGTCGTTAAAAGAAGTACTCGAGGACAAACCTTCAGCAACTTGGCAACTTTTTGGTAGTTGGTCTCGAGCTCTTGTCTGAGGACGCTGTTCTCGTCCGATAAGATCTCCACCATGTGAGTCGCCCTGGACGCGATGGCTTCATGGTCCAGCTCAAAGTTGGCCTGAGATGCTTGGGAGGCGGGGGAGGGGTGAGGGGCGGGGGCGTCGGTCGATAGAGGGGACGTGCTGGACGTACTGCTGCAGAAGAAAGTAACAGAGAGAGATGGAGAGATGAGTTTTGACTATTGAGATTAGGGCTTGAGATACAGTTGTGTCATTTAAATCTTCTTTCCTTCAAACTAAAAAAATGTTCTTTCATTCTGTAAGAAACTCTTTGAAGAGCCTTTGCCCTAAAATGTTGCACTTTGAAATTTAGAAAATATAGGATTCATGTTGCAGTTCATCATTTGCAAATAAATTGTATCGACAGTACCGTATATATTTATTTTAATCTTTTTTTAATTGGGCAATTAACACAAATATGCTAAATGATTGAATAATGGCTCCATATTTAGTCGATCATTAACGATGGAATCAAAGCGTTTATTAAAGGTTAGAGGAGGAAAGGGAAATGCCCCCCCCCCCCTTCTTCCCCCAGTTCTGCTATACACACATACATAAATATAGAAATCTCAAGAGAGTTTAGGAATAAAGCTGAAAGTAAAATAGGGATATTAAAATGTTCAGACCTATGCCACCTCCCCTCCCCTACACACAAACATTTTGAAGTAGGAGGACACATTTGGACGCAGCAGGCATGCAGTTCATGCAATAAATTTCATACAAAGTCATGTCCATGTCTACATACTACACCCAAGGTGAATTGCTTGTTTGGTCTACAACCAGTTTGTCTTCTACCTAATTAGTCTATTTCCATATGGTCTACACCCAGCCTATCTGCTACCCACATGGTATAATAATCATTTAATATAGTATTAATGACTGCTTTGAGAGAAATAGTTGTTTTTATATGCTCAAGGGAAGGTTAGAATTGTGCTATTACCCGAGGCGTGCCGAGGGTGATAACCCAATTGTAACCTTCCCTAGAGCGTATAAAAACAATTATATACCTCACTTAAGTAATCCAGCCATCTGATTGGTCGAAATTGCATTCATAAACTTCAACTGTTCCTGTAAAATTCCCGGTAACCATGCTTAAAACATTTAATATTTTTAATAACCATGGTTATTAAAAAAATAGGTCAGTCTCCATGGTTACCCCATAGGTTTACATGTTAAAAAATGGTTTGAGCGATGGAGGATACCGTATGTGTGCGAATAATTGGTCGGTAATTTCAATACAATTGAATCTCGATCGATCTTACCGACAATTTTATCTTGCATTGTTGACATGAAGACGAAAATAAACTTCCAAAAACAAAAAAACAACATCTGCCGATAGATCTTGATCTAAGTTCGTGCCAATATGCATTGCAAAAGTAAAAGAAGAGTCCGTATATGGAGCTTTTGCGAAGCATTCATCACACGCAAAGCCGGTTTCAATCCATTTTAATGTATATATAGTACAAAACTGCCAAGCATGTTAATAACGCGCGATGGCCGAGAGGTCTGAGGCGCTGACTTTAAATGCATCACCTTTTGTACGCAAGAGTTCGAATCTCATCTTGGACCAAAAAAAAAAGTATTTTTTATTTTTTATTTTTTAGTCTATTTTTTTCGGCATATAAAAGTATTAATGACTGCTTTAATATTCGAGAAATAGTTGTTTTTATACGCTCTCGGGAAGGTTACAATTGGGCTATTCCCCTCGGCACGCCTCGGGTAATAGCACACTTCTAACCTTCCCTTGAGCGTATAAAAACAACTATTTCTCTCAAAGCAGTCATTAATACTATACTATTTCTCGAATATTAAAGCAGTCATTATTACTTTTATATGCCAAAAAAAAAAAATTTAAAAAGAAAAAAAAAAAAAAAAAAAAACTTTTTCCGAAGATGGGAGTCGATCTCTTGCGTACAAAAGGTGATGTAACTAAAAACGGCGCCTTAAACCGCTCGGCTATCGCGCTCTGTTACCATCCATAGCAGTTTTTTCTTATATATACATTAAAATGGATTGAAACGGCTTCGCGTAATGGATGCTTCGCGGCTGCTCCATTAAACAGGCCCTTCTTTTACTTTTGCAATGCATATTGGCACGAATTTAGATCAAGATCTATCGGCAGATGTTGTTTTTTTGTGTTTGGAAGTTTATTTTCGTCTTCATGTCAACAATGCAAGATAAAATTGCCGGTAAGATCGATCGAGATTCAATTGTATTGAAATTACCGACCAATTCTTCGCACACGTACGGTATCCTCGATCGCTCAGACCATTTTTTAACATGTAAACCTATGGGGTAACCATGGAGACTGACCTATTTTCCCAATAACCATGGTTATTGGGATTTTGAACTGTTTTTTAACCATGGTTACCGGGAATTTTCGGGAACAGTTAAAGTTTATGAATGCAATTTCGACAAATCAGATTGCTGGATTACTTAAGTGAGGTATATAATCATTAATAATAATAATCATCAAATGATTATTACATCTTATGGATAGTAGACGAAATAAGCATCAGACAAACTGGGAATTAGACCGACTGGAATTTAGACTAAATGAGAAATAGACCAAATGGGTAGTAGACGACTAGACGAGCTGGGTGTAGACAATATTATGGGAATAGACCAATTGGGTCGTAGAGAAACTGGTTGTAGACCAAATGGCAATACACACACCCAACATCCTAAATGTGTGTCACATTGTAACCCCTACTACTGCCCAATGTGATTCAATGAAATTTAGGTTGCACATATCATCAGTCCAATCATAATTCCTTTGCATAGAGGGCTGCCCCTTCGTCACCTCCAGGTTTCTACTAACACGAAGCATGCCAAACGATTAAAGCCCCTCCAAAGTGATGGGGGCCCCAACAATTTGATGACAAAGTTTCACTTAAATTGTATTATAATTTGAAAGAGGATGTCATTTAAGACACAATTCTGCAAGGATTTTCAAAATAAATGTGTTTGAAGTCGAATATTGATGAAATAATACAACATTTTGGTTTTCTGCATACAACAGAAAACCCAAATTATTTATTCTTTTATCAATATTTTTCTTCAAACACAATTTTTTGGGGGAAATCTTTGCAGAAGTGTATCTTAAATGACATCCTCTTTCACGTTATGGTACAATTTAGGTGAAATTTTGCCATCAAATTTTGGGCTCCCAACACTTTAGAGGGGCTTTAAGATTACCAGGCAGCTTTATAGCTGAAGGCAAATAACAATAAACAAAATTGCTTTGGAAAACCAGCACCTTTTGCAAGTGTCAGAAAAAAATGAGAAGCTGTATGCTGTACGATAATTGAATCACAACATGAACTTGTGTGATTCGTGAAAGTTTCTTGACTTCAACATTTCTTGTCAGCAGATTTAAGGTTTTAAAGCAGTTTAACATCTAATAGTAAATGGGACTGTTAACTTAAGGTTAAATGGGGGAAGGGTCTGTAAGGGAGGACGTCCATAATCAAGTTTATCTATTCATTCTCTTTTAAAAGAGGCAGCCAAAACCTACGAGAGAAGAAGCTTGTTCTGAAAATATTAGCTGAAATTAAGTCATACATGTATATAAAACAAATGTTATCAAATCAAAACCATTCGGGACCACTACTATCTCCACTAATCTTGAATGTCAATTGAAAACAGATAGTTTTACAGGTTTGGTTTGCATTGGGAGGGTGAAAAGACGAGGGCAACTCCCCTTCCCGTTCATCGATCCCCATCCATTGCTCTACCGGTGCCTTCACTGCTAAAGACATTAGCAGTCAGGGAAACAGGCGGCACATACACAAACATGACGACATAATAGAAGAATTCAAGGCATCTGTTCTTGAGTCGCGCCTTCCTCCCCTCATCAGCAGTTTGTACTTGACTTCATTCCTCCAAGACTATTCTCTCATCTCTGCTCGTCTCAAAGGAAGGACCGCTCTTTTCCTCTCCCCCCTCTCCCCCCCCCCCCTCTCTCTCTCTCTTTCTTTCATCTCTTCCTCTCTTCCCTCTCTTTCCCCCTCCCCATCTTTCACTCTCTCACCAACTTTCTTACTTTCTTGAACATCTCTTTCAAACCTCCTCTTCCTTCTCCTTTTCTTGTGTGTGAACTCTTTTTTGTTCTTCTTTTACATCTTTCTTCCCTCAACCCTCTTCTTCCTCCTATCTTTTGTCTTCCTCTATTTGTTTCTTTTTTTCTCTCATCCATGTCTCACAATCTTGTTCTGTATGATCTCTCTTTCTTCTCTGATCTCTTTTTGCTCTTAATCACCTTCTGTCAATTTTCCCAATTTTTTAGTCTATCCCTTTCTACCTTCCTTTCTCCCCTTTCTGGATATATTTCTTCTCAGCTTGCTTCCTGCTCTTTTCCCTTAGTGCTTCTCTCTCTCTCTCCATCTCTCTCTCCCTGTCTCTTCTCATCACTCCAAGCATATCTCCCTTCTCTCTGCCTATCAACATAAAGACATGTGTAGTGGTACTTTCTGATGCAATCGTTGGTGTAGCTATGGAAGCAAAAGGGGATACCCCCCCCCCTTCATATGGCAAAAACGAAAGAGAGAAAAGGAGAGAAGAAAAAAAGTAGGAGAAGGAAATATGCCAAGGCAAGAAAAGAGGATATTGGGATCTACTTTGCACCCCCCCCCCTATAGCCTTGTTAATTCCCTTTTCATTGACAGATTACAACCAGAGCTGCCCCCAACCCCCCCCCCCCCCAATAATACAAGTGCCCTTCAATGGCTACGCCACTGGATGCAGTGCAACACACAGGCAATGGTTTGTAGACTGTGCTGTTTTGAGGTGTAATGGAAACTAGTACCAGACAGACAGCCAGCCGATACTAGACGAATGATGCGCAATGTCTACCTTTTCATCAACATGAAATGGAATACACAAGATAAATAATGAATGAGAGTTCAGAGTACTCTAGCTTCAAAAACACATTTTGAAAACACCTCAGAATTTAAACACAATATGCTCAATGGCTATCAAACACTACATTGATTGTATTTCTAAATTGTTGTTATACAAAAACCATCATGTACATGTAATGCCTACGCCAGCTACAGCCTAGTGTACATGAGGCTTCAGAGTATATTTTCATGACCTTGACCCAATATTTTCACCCTATTTGATAAACTGCATGC